AATGTCAAGATCAAGAAAATTTACTTTATAGAGACTTTGTATCCTGTGAACGGTAGACTGTTGGAAGAAGCAGGCGGGTACATGAAACGGTCTATTCTCTCTTGTTAATTTACGCGGAATTCGAAAGTTAACACAATTGAGAAGTACAGGGCAGGATATGATACCATTAACCAACTTGTAAAAAAGTAACAGGTCGGAACGATTTCGTCGGCAGTGAAGTGATGGCAATGATAACAGTCCAGCACTATTTGAACGAGATCCAGAGTGATTTCTAGCAAACCGATGATTATATATGCTGAGTAATTTTTTTCTGGACTCGTTAAATGTGTTACCGCTGGATTGAGCAATGCCATTCCATATCACGGACGCATACTCAAGTTGTGGAAGACATATTGCGGTGTGCAATTTGTGGAGGGATATAGGAGAACTCAGTTCTCGAGATATTCTGCAAACACATCCGAGATACGAAGGCCCTGCATAGCAGCACGCTTAATGTGAGCAGAAAAGTTTAACGTGCTATCAACAACAACACCAAGATCACTGACCTCATAAACCTTGCTTAACGACACAGAATTGACAGAGTATGTAAATGACACGCTAGATGTTTTGTGAGTGATAGACATGAATTTTGTCTTTGACGTATTCAGAGAAAGGTTATTGCAGTTGCATCATTCGGAAAAAGAACACAAATCTGACTGCAGCAAATGACAGTCGTTAACTGTATGAATTGCCCTAAATATCTTAATATTATTGGCATACAAGAGGAAAGAAGAATTGCGAATGACAAAGAAACATCATTAACGTAAATTGAAGACAGGAGTGGGCCTAATACTGACCCCGCAGGGACCCCACTAGTCATTTTATACAAAGAAGAGGTTTGGCCATTTACGGCAACATAACAAGATCTATTGAGCAGGTAGCTGTTCAGGAGATTCAGAACCGAGAAGTCATCAAACTGCGCAAGTTTAACCATAATCAGTGAGTGGCTGACTACGTCAAAAGCCTTGCTCACTCAGGTCACAGTAGATTACGTCAACTTGTCCTCTCGTAGAAATAGGTGTAGAGATCTGCATCATGAAACTAGCAGGATTTGTGGTAGTTGAGCTACCAGCAAGAAGGCCATGTTGATTTGGAATTAATGAGTTTTTCACACCAAAATACACTATGTTGTGAAGAGCCAGCTCAAAAATCTTTGATGTGGCACATAGTAGAAAAATGCGGCGATAATTTGAAACATCTGTTTTAGAGCCCGACTTAAATACTGGGAAAACACGAGCAGTTTTCTACATGCTAGGAAATGTGAAAGTGTCCAGGCAATTATTAAATATCGTAGTCAGTACAGGGACAAATATACTAAGCTTTTAGTATGGCGGATGGGATGCCATCTGGGCCACATGATGAGGGTGGCTTTAAGCGCTTAATGCATTCGCCGATAAGATTTTCATCCAGCGACAAAACACTGGATGAGCTAACTGCCTTGGGCTATTGTCCGATATCAGTGCTAGAGTCAGGTCTTATAAACGGATGAGAAATGCGTGGCAAAACAGTCCGTGACGGCATGCACTTCTACCCCATTCGAGTCCAGCAGTCTGAAGGACTCTCCGCTTTTGCTAGACCGTTTACGCACATACTTCCAAAACTCAGCTGGCCTGTCAGGGGCGCTTTTTTCTTAAAAGTCAACAGAAGAACTATGATCGCGCATATATAGGCGTTTAGAGAGAGTTCGAAAAAAGCTGAACTCTTCCTTCCACTCGCTGGATGGAGAACATTTAGATTTCCTGTGTGCGCGATCTTTATGCTTTAGTGCACTGATAAGTTTAGATGAGAACCAGTGGGGATATTTACGTTGTTTAGGTGTATATTGGAGAATAACGTTACGCATGCTGCTCAGTACAAGCTCCGTAAATCGATCAACCTGATCATCAACATTTGCTTTGTCAGTAACCTGTGACCACTCAACAGTGGACAAGTAATGGTACAGGCCCGTGTAATCACCTCACTTGAAAGCAAATCTTGGAGATTTGTTTACGTAACTGCTGTAGCTCGTTGTTTCAGCTGATGCAGATAATCTTACGTTAAGTGGTGGGTGGAATTTGTCGGGACGTACAAGGGAGATGTCGGAGCGAGAAACTTCAAGGGGTTGATCGTTGGACACACACAGGTCTAAGACGTTGCCACTGGAATGAACGACTGAGTTATGTTGCAGTAGGGAATTAAACGCCAGAAAGCCCAGGAGCAGGCTTCACTTTTTCTCTATAATATGATTGTAATGAGAAAAGGTGAGCGTGCTCCAGTCAATTCCAGGTGCATTGAAATCCCCAAGAACAATAATTTTGTGCCCACTATGAGAAGATATCACAGGTTCTATAGAAGACATGATATCATGAAACGAGCCAGGGGAAATGCTGGGCGGTAAATAGAAGCATCAAATCAACCATTTTTCATGCGCTCAAGGTTGATTTCAAGCCAGAATTGATTATTTGATAGATTCTATGTCTTTCCGTCAAACGGATTTCATTTAATTGTCAATGGCAATCAGCACGCCACCGCCTTTCTGTTTGGTTTCACTCAAATCTCGGTCACTGCGGAAGGTGGTGTAGGTCGGGGAAAAAAGGTCAGATGAGGGAATTTCAGTGCCTAGCCAGGTTTCAGAAATAGCGATAATAGAAAAAGAAGACGAACGAATATTAGAGAAAAACTCGAGTGCCTTGGTACGCAGACCCCGAGCATTTTGGTAAAAGATGTCTACGTTACACGGCACTTTCGATTCCAGTCACAAATTCAGAGGGATCAAGCATGTCATCGTGTAGCTCCCCACGAAATGGCTTGAAGAGGCGTCCGAGCGGCCACATCGAAGGGTCATTCAGGCATTAAAGTGTTTGCTCGTCAACTTCGATGTAGAATGAAGAATATGACTAGAATTTTGTTTGAAGTCGCCAGCAGGAGATGGTAGACAACTCTAGTGAAGCAATATGTTTTTTGATGTCAGCAGCAGTGGTGTCCGGGCTCAGCTTCGTAACAAAAATGGCCTTTGGCTGTCGTGGCCGTTGTGGTCGTTGAGCTACAGATATAGTTGATGTTTTCATAGCTCCAAAAAAGGCGGGTTTCTTCTTTCTTTCACCCTCAGTAACCGCTGTAGAAGAGGCTGTCGCTGGTATCACACTGACACGCTTGGACATGTCCGCGTCAGCTTGCGGCGAATTCAAGGATGAAAGAATTTCGGAGAGAGGTTGTGCAGAGTACGCAGGTTGCTTGGAGGTCACAGATCGGTCAACGTTCACATGCTCTGGGGGGATCACAGCTGCCGTTTCTGCCACGGCGGCTGTGCAGCGCGTCAGCTCCTCACGCAGGAAGCGGACCCCTGCACGAAGGGAGGCGACCACGCGGGCTTGTTGTTCAACACCGCGGGAATGATCCTTACGGAGCCGCTCGTTTTCTTCGCGTAGTTGGGACACCTCGCCGTTGAGAAACGAGATTCCCTCCAACGCGTCGAGGAGGAGACGGCGCAGCCCGGCGAGATCCCCACCCGGAGAGCACATGTAATAATAATAATAATAATAATAATAATAATAATAATAATGATAATAATAATAATAATAATAATAATAATAATAATAATAATAATAATAATAATAATAATAATAATATAATAATGATAATAATAATAATAATAATAATAATAATAATAATAATAATAATAATAATAATAATAATAATAATAATAATAATAACAATAATTATAATAATAATAATAATAATAATACAATTATTTTTTATGAATGTTCACACTTCTTTGTATGTGCGGCGATATTACCTGATTGATTAATACTTCACTTCTGAGACAACTTTCAAGCGCACTATAATTAAATGAGATCTTTTCATGCAAGGTGTTGGTGCACAGGGCATTCGGGAGGGTGTAAGCAAACAAATCAAGTCAAATCAAATAAATATGTACACAGGGGGGTGCAATGTACAGAAGAAGGTACACTAACGAAAACCAAAAGAGGACCTTTGCGAAGAAATTACGTGTTCAAGAGTACAAAAAAATGGCAACAAAGCAGTGGTGAACAATTACTCATAGCTAAGGAAACAATGTAAGATACAAATAAAACTGAACTGACAGTAAAAACGGCAGTCAAACAGCGTGACGCAATTATTCATAGATATAAAAATAACGCGAACGTACAGGAGTATTAAATCAGAGAATAACACATAATGATAGTACAACAGTAATAAATAGCGTAACAGTGCAACAGTGCAGCAGTGGAACAGTAATAAATTTGCTTGTCAGCAAATGCAGACATAAAAGTACAGGCTAGATAAGATGAACATTTTTTAAACGCTCCTGATTATATCTGTTTGGTGCTGTGTTGTATTGTGCTTCCGAATTGTGTAGCCGCTAATGTGGCTGTTGCTTTTTCGCGGTTAGTAGATACACAAATACGGCACTAAATGGTGGAATCAAACATGTAGTGGGATGAGACTTAAACAAACGTATTTGCTCCAAAACATCAGATGTTAAGGCACCGTTAGGGCATTTTAATACAAACATCACATGTTTATACTTGAATAACTTTTGTTCTGCTAGTATTACATGTTGCTGAAAATGTCAGAATGCGTAAGTGATGGGTCAACTGAACGTAAGGATGCTAATGGCTTTGTTTTTGATGTGCTGGAGCTGAAGAATATATTATGTGGTTCACCCAAGACCTAATGCAGTACGTGATGTGACTGTGATTGAAGGCATTGTTTAGATTAAATATTTTCTTCAGCATTCATACAAAGAAAATGCATCCACTATTATCAAGGCATCTTGGTAACCCACAAAAAGTGGGTGTATTGCATGTCATGTGTGTTTTATGCTATCGCGTGGTTTGCACAGTGCGACCCATAGATGGTCGCACAGGGGGCCGATTGCGAAGTGAAACTAACAACGCAATCGTGTCGTATATACTTAGTACTATATTGCAAAGGGTTAATTATGTGCTTTTTATCTACAGTGAAAGAAGCCTACCCAGGTGAGCAACGTTGCACTTTATTCACCTAGTATCAGAACGTTCCTTTGCCCCGCTGCGGTAGTTTAGTGACTAAGGTACTCGGCTGCTGACCCGCAGGTCACGGGATCGAATCCCGGCTGCGGCGGCTGCATTTCCGATGGAGGCGGAAATGTTGTAGGCCCGTGTGCTCAGATTTGGGCGCACGTTAAAGAACCCCAGGTGGTCTAAATTTCCGGAGCTTTCCACTACGGCGTCTCTCGTAATCATAAGGTGGTTTTGAAACGTTAAATCCCGCATATCAATCAATCAATCAATCAATCAATCAATGTTGTAGGCCCGTGTTCTCCAATTTGGGTGCACGTTAAAGAACCCCAAGTGGTCGGAATTTTGGAGCCCTCCGCTACGGCGTCTCTCATAATCAATCCCACATATCAAGCAATCAATCACAATATTCAATTGAATTCAATTCAATATTTATTCCATTTCTCTTTACGTACGCACACAAAAAACAGAGGAGGCCCTGCGAAAAAGTGAAAGTCTGTCCACTTACAAGGCGTACAGCATGCATAACAGTAGATGGGGCACAGTTTTGAACGTAGAGTACGCGTATTTCTGCTAACAAGTACCGCTAGATTGTACACTTTGCCTTTCTTGTTCTAGTAAAAATGAGCATACTATGTACGCGTATAGAAAAACACCAAATGATATGCTGTACCTCTGAAGTAATATAGATACAGTGAACATGTTAATAACATTTTGCAAATGAAGGATATAGAAATAAACATTATAGAGACTCATATAAATAGAGAATGGAAAAACGTACAAGCTTCCACTAGTGTTAACTATGTGAGAGATACAAAAAAAATGTTTAAAAGATTTCCTACTTCCATGTCTTATAAAGCAGTTTAAGAAGTTCTGAGGTCTGTATTAGAGCACCTTCTCACTTCTAATTAAACGTCCATACGAAATATACACAAAATACGTCTCAAGTGCGCACAAGCACTTAAGTATCTTCCACCGAGGGGTGACGCCCGCCTAGATTACTACGCACCTTGTATGAGCAGCTTGGCGCGATGCCACAAATTAGGCACGCTTCTGCGTGGACATCAACGAGAATCTGCGCAAGCACCTGGCATAGAAGGCCAGAATTACAGAGGAAGTGGCAAAGGTCCATGTACTGAGCACCTTGAAGAACACCAGATGGTCGAATCTTCCGGAGTCCTCAACTACGGCGTCTATTCTAGTCATATCGTAGTTTCGAGATGCTAAACGGCTAATAATATTGCTAGCGACTAAGTGAATAACAGAAGAGAGAAAGAGACGCACACGTTGTCCTCACTCGATCACACCTTTCCTCCAACATTTGCGTGCTGCGCTGTGAACGTTGTGGAAATGAACTTGTGGGATGCCGTGCGAATAGAAGGAAACATCCCAACATAAAACACCACGACTGTTTGTTGACGTGACAGGAGCAGCGGGGCGAGCGTGCTGACGCAGTGGTCGAATGGTTCGATGAACAATAATACTAGCGAGCTTGGCAGCTCGGCTTTTATAGCAACCAGTGGTGACTTAAGCCTGTGTAGAGGCAGTGTGCTGTCCCATATCGGAAACGTGTTGCAGCAAGTGGCCGTGTGACGCCGAACTAAGCAGTGCCGAGACGGAGGCTCAGGTTTGTGCGCAGTAGTCGCCACTTAACACCCTCCCACCCGCGGAGTGCAGAGCCCTGAGCAGGGTCTGTCGAAATCTGGGAGGTGTGCCAGACGTCCAGAGCGTGTCGTCAAATGAGCCGGATGCAACGTAGGCGGCCGTGGAAGGAGTGGCGCTGCCCGGTTCGTTCGCAGCGATGTGTGCGGGCTTGAGTCAGTTAACCGACCCGTGCACGTTGTTCCCGCTCAGGTGCAGAGTGAAGTATTTGTCGCGAAGGACGACTAGGTAGGTCCGCTATAGGGTGGCTGGAAAGGCCGGTTGACGGTGTCGTCGTGGAGGAAGGCATGCGAGCACAGTGCCTTGAATACAAAAGGTGTGGGCTTGCTGTGGTCTGCCGCAGGTGACGGACGTATGGCGGCGATGGTGCGTTGGAGCGAGGCGAAGAAGTCAGTGGGGTCTGACGTAACAGGGCTGGGTGGCAGAGCTGTGAGAAATTCACCTTGAAAATGGCGAGGGTCTCTGTGGACGACCTCTGCTGGTGTAGCAGAAGCTGATGTCCAGCTTGAAGGTGGCGTGAAGACTGAGGATGGCAGCTAGGATGGCCTCGAGCCAGGTTGAGTTCGGGTGGCACATAACGGCTACTTTCAACTATCAGTGGAAATGCTAGATCATTCCGTTGGCGCCGGTGTGGTAACTGGTGGCTCTCAAGTGTTTCAAACCAATAGTAAATCCGAGGAGCCTAAATAGGTGTGACTCAAACTGTCATCCTTGGTCGGTGGTTACACAGCGGGGAGTAATAAAACAAGTCCAGTTGGTGGGGAAGGCTGAGACGACATCTTCCACTGTGATTCCCTCGAGGAGCCATTCCTTCAGCCATCGGGTACGTTAAGGCAGTAGCGGTAGGGTTCAGCCGATGGAAAGGCTCCTATAAAGTCGAGGTGAACGGGCTCGAACTGACCAGAGGGAATGTTACGAGTGGGGACGTGACGTGCCTGGTGATTTTAGCGCGTTGGCAGTGGATGCCGGAGCGGGCCCACGTGTGATAATCCAGCTGCGTGGCTGAAATTATTAAGCTGGTTGAGAAGACCATGGTGATAGGACTGGGGAACATAAGGCTAGCTTGGTTCTGTCGACGTGTCGCAAAAGATTGTGACTGCCGACCCGTGAATAGGGACTTCTGTAGCTGTAGTTGGAAGTTGTTGCAGTACGGCGTCCGTAGTCTGAGCCTCGGCGAGGACATCCGTTGTTATTACACTGATCTGATGGTGACTACGCGTGAAAGCACGTTGGCGATCCGTTGTCTTTTCTGCTGACATGTTTGATGTTGGTGGTGAACTGTGCAATGAACGAGAGGTGGTTCTGCTGAACGGGTGGGAGTTTGTCACGAGGTTGAGAGAAAACGTAGGTAAGAAGCTTGTGGACACGCGATAAATGGGGCAGTTCTGTGCTTCGAGATAATGGCGAAAGTGTTGCACTGGTTGTTATATCGACAGAATTTCTCTGTGGCAGGCTGGGTGGTGGTCGTGGTTTTGTCAGTGGAACTGGCAGCTGAATAGTTTGTTTTTGGAGTTACAAGTTTTTCAAAAAGCTAAGGAAGGCCAGGTATTGTCCACGCGTTGCATGTATGTGGTGCCAATGGCGAAGCTAGATGAGTGAGTGAAGAGTCTTAAAGGAGCGTCTTGCATAAGATGGATGAGGAGCGTGGTGGTTCATAGAGCGGCTTAACATTCTTGGAATGTTTTCGCTAACGCTGGTGTCCACGTGACACGTTGTTTTCCTCGTAGCCGATTCAAAGCATCATAAAGATGAGCCTGGTGTTTGGCCGCGTGTCGAAAATAAAGAAAAGAACGCATGTAGAAGTTCTACATGCCGAGGAAACAGCGAAGGTCTTTAGCGGTAATGAGTCGAGGGTAAGATTACTGGTCGGAGATGTGTGATGCAGAGTGGGTAGGACTGAGTTTCCCCAGATGTTACTACGTGGCTAAGGAAACAGACGACGGAAGCACCTAGCGTGTTTTTTTAATATTGACAAGTATACAGACTGTGGTCATCGAGGCATTGGAGCAACAGACGAAGGTGCCCGTGGTGTTCTTCATCGTCGCGTGAAAAGACGACTATGTCGTCAAGATATACAAAGCAAAAGTTAAGGCCGCGGGCAACGTTGTAGGTGAAGCGCTGAAAGGCTTGCCTTGCGTTCCTTAGGCCGAAGCTCATGAGGGGAAACTCTAACAAGCCAAACAAGGTGATTAGTGAAGTTTCCGGGTCGTCATCTCGATTCACGGGTATCTGTGTGTAAGTTGAGCACGGAGAACACATGGCAGTCATGAATGCATGAGATGAGTGAAGTCCTGCAGTGCACGTGTTAGGCGAGGTACCTGTCCGAGATGGTGCGCGCGTTGAGGGCGTGGAAGTCCTCACAGGGTCGCCAGCCTTCGGTCTTCTTCGGAACGAGGTGGAGTCGCGACTGTCACAGCGGCGGGTGATTCGTTCGTGGAACATGGCATCGAACTTTGCTTTGGCTATGCGCATGTGGTCTGGCGCAAGGGGTCGGGCACGGCAGAAAGCAGGGGGACCAGAAGTAGTCCGGATGTAGCGCACGGTGGTGTGCTGCACTTTGTGTGGTAATCTGCTGGGCTGCGTTCATCCGGGAAATTCGGCGAGAATGGCATGGTACGGTCAGTGATTGTCAACACTGAGTACGTTGATGTGTGGCTGTTGGGTAGTTGTTCACTGGCCTGGTGCGGAAGGTACTGTTGTCACGTCGGTGATCTGGTCATTGCGACAGTCCGGAAGGATGTTGTAGTGATCTAGAAAGTCTTAGTCGATGGTTGGCTCGGCAATGTCGGCGAGGACAAAGTTCCAGTGAAGGTTGTGGCGTAGTTTTCTGAGTTGAATGTACAGGTACAGTGAGCCGTGCGTTTTGGCTACGGACCGGTTCACTGCGCTGAGCTCGATATATGTCGGTGGACGAGGACCTTGAAGGTGGGATTGCGGGTAGCAGCAAATGTCGGGACCGCTGTCGACTAGGTAACGCTGCTTCACGATTCGCTCGGGGACGAAGATGCGACGATTTCTGGGTTGGAAGCTTGTGGGCGTCTCTATGAGCTGCCGTTGTCGTTTTCCACATGTCCAATGGAACAGAGTTTCCGACGATGCCGGGCTTTGTCAGCGAAGAGCCGGTGGTAGTAAGAAGGATCATTGATACCAGGTTGCAGCGAGTAGGTGGTGTTACGGTCGTGACTATGCAAATGGCGGCTCTGCAGCACCGGAAGACGCTCACACAGATATTGAATGGGGGTGAGCCGTAGAATGTCGTCGATACGGCGCGCAAGCTTTGTGGTGTCCAGTGGTGCGGCGACAGCCTCGATGGCGGGTGACAACTGGAGCAAAAAGGCCTCCATGACGCGGTCAGCGTTATCCGCAATTTCGTCGAGAGTTAGCCTGACGAGTGCCTGCAGACTTGCGTGGGCGTGCGGCGGGAGTCGTTCGAGCCAAGACAGCTAAGAATCCTGTTGCCCGCGAGCGCATGAATGTGGCGCAGCAGCTGAGGTTTGCGCTCAGCAGGCTCTGCGGGGTGCAGCTGTATCTTCTGCTGTTCCGAGAGTGACAAGCGGCGGATAAGTGCTGCCTTCATGCAATCGTACAGATTGGCCGTTGGTGGGTTGGCAAAGATATCTTGGACCTCGTTGGCGTAACATGCGTGCAGGTAGGTGACAACGTAATCGTAGCAGGTCTGGTCTTGCTTGATGGGCACCAAGGAAAACTGGGCCAAAACCTAGGCAAAAGAGACCTCGGGTGAGTCCGCCTAAAACAGTGGAAACTCTATAGTAACACGCAAAAAGGCAGCATGCGGGAGGGCTATTGCAGGAGAAATTACGTCCTCAGCTGAGGCGGTAGACACGGCCTCGTTTGCGGAGGCATTGCGAGATTTCTGCTGCTGCTGGTTCCTAGTTCCTAAGGAAGTTTTTGCATTGATGGCGAAGAGTTGTGAGAGCTTCTGAGTCGGCCACGGTGGTGCGGTTAGTTCATTTTTCGGGTCACCAGATGTGGGATGCCATGTCGATTGAAGGACGCACGTCGTAACATAAAACGACTATTAATTAACGCGGTAGTAGCAGCGGGGGGGGGGGAGCATGCTGACGCTGAGCTCGAATGGTTAGAGAAACAATGCAAGCGAGCTTGGCAGCTTGGATTTTATAGCCACCAGTGGTGACGTAAACCTCCTGTGAAGCTGCAATGGCGCTGTCCCTTATTTGAAGCATGCTGCAGCAGTTGACCGTGTCACGCCGTACTAAGCAATGACGAGACAGAGGCTGCGCAGGTTTGTGCGCAGGGGTTGCAACACACTTTAGCCAGCTGGCCCAAATTGCCCTTCTTCATTGCAGAGAGGTGTCGACGTAGCTTGCTGCATACGCCTTGCCTAATCTAAAGAACCGGCCTAATTTAAAGAAAACCGGCCCGGCTAATTAAAAAAAAATTGGTACCGGCCTGATTAATAAAAAGCCCGGCGCCAGCGGGTGTAATGAAAAGCGAGTGCACACAAACAGTCCTTCGAAGGACCGTCGGTCACGTGTGTGCACCGTGTCAGCTGCTTCTGATGTGAAAATCTCATATTTTGTAGCGGTCGCTTGGTATTTCACCCACGCGTTTTGTTGGAGAATTTAATTGTGTCACGCAACACGGTCGTTGTCGCTGTCTGCTAAGTGGCGGGAGAAGGTGCGACTGTCGCCATGGAGGAAAAAGAGAGTTGAAATTGATGGTGTGCGGAATCCCGCCTAGTTGGGAGCGGCCACTGGAGAAGCGGAATTATTACCGACCAGCGTGAAGGCTCCGGGAGAGCAAACAAGACGGCCCGGCTGACGTTTAGATAGCCGAGATTTAGTCTTCATTGCGAACAAAGCTACCGTGCGGGAGCCGTCACGTCCAGTTTGTTTCAGATTGTTTTTGTTACGGTAGGCGTTTATTTCAATTACATCGAAGTAGCATTGCGCAAAGTTAGCAGAAAGCATTGCGCGATGCGACAAATAGGAAGGAAGAGGAGCGTTTTCCTGAAGGTATTTGTATTGTTTCTCCTTACTGCTTTGCAACTGTTAATGAGAAGTGAGCGCAATGCTTTGTGTAACTAACATTTGGCCTGTTTGGGAAGGAGTCCTTATACAGTCACTCGACAATACAGTGCTATCTGTGTGACTTTTATGCAGTTCACTAAAGTACACCTATCGTGCTGCTTCCAACGCAAGTTTATCAGGCTATTTTGCCTGTGTTTTCCAGCCCGTTTAAAATTGTGCAACGAACTTAGACAATAACATGAATAGACACTGTCACGAACAGGCTGGTGGAGATGTATAGAGACAATAGCAGCCATACGTAAAATGTCATTGAGACTTACGTGTCATAAAATATGCAGCTGGAAAAGCATAGGATACAAGTATCCAGTGTCGGAATCGGAGGTATACCGTCGATTCATCCAACGTTCTTGTGAATAAGTTGAAGCGATACATTGCCCGTTGTGTTGTCTTATTGTGCCTTTGTTACTTTTGCGCATTCGCTTTCTCAACTCACGCCACATTGTTTTTTTTTTGTTTTACACAGTGCCAGTGGAAGTCCGTGAGTTGATATCTCCATTCATCGACTTACTATGCCTATTTCGGGATAGTGCGGTTCAACACTCGTCTTAACAGGATCTTGCAAAAATAAAGGAATGCTAAATACAGCTGGGACAGAAGCGGTGCACAGAAAGCATCTATTTCGCTTGAGCTCTACGAATGCTCCTGAATATCTTCAAAAGAGAAAAATGCTGACTGAGTAAAATCTTTCGCCCAGTTACATCCCCCAATCGCCCTGATTAGGGGATGTAACTGCTTCTATACGTGAAGGGTATGCTGTAGGCAACGCCAAGGACACGTGGCACGGAAATATTCGTTTGCTTAATGGAAACTCAAATCTCTCAACAATGGTCCGCTTTCCGCGCGTTTTCGCAGCGCTGCACAGACATAAACAATTTTATTCTTAGCTGCGAAAACAACTTCGATGCCATGACGCGATCTCTGCTTTTTTTAAAATTAGATAGCTGTTGGAATATTGCAAAAAGGCAATATTTTTCACTTTTTGAGTTTTTTTTTCGTTAGTGCTACGTCTTTATTGGTTAGGGCTACGTCTTTATCTGGATAACACGCTTCTTATAGCCTCAATATTTGTGACCACACACTTTCTGGCATCTGATGGTCACATGACTTGGTTACTGTAGACATTAGGGTGGCAAAGGTGACACCTTTTTCTGTGATTTTTGAATGAACAGAAACAAAGATAATCAGAGGCTTTGCAAAATGATGCGTTGCTAGGCTAGCTGGTTCATAATCTGAAGACTTGAAAGCGAAAAATTGACGAGGACATGAAAGAACACAGATACTCATTACAGAGCACAAAAAAAGCAGGAGCTTTGAACTACGAGGGCGGTATTTCAAGCATGAGTGTTTTCAAGAATGAGTCTAAAAACTGCAAGAACCTTGCGATGGCATTTCACATTTGAATTTCAAGCCCAGACTTTCCCTCTAAAAATATCCACACAATTACTATTCACATTGTTCGTGAAGTAATAGATAGTCCGGCGGAATACCATCTGGTCAGCTTGTTGAAACAAAAAGACGTACCAGAACAATGTAAACACAAAACAAGAATGCCGTTTCGGGATCTCTACAGATTCCTTGTCATTCTTGTGTTGTTTTGAAATTAGTCGGTGACCTCTTATTTTCATACTGTTGATCAAGTTACTCTTACGTAAGAATATGAAGTAGTTGTCGACATACCTATTAACTGTTCGCGCGAGCCAGCTCAGGTTTTCTTTGATTGCCCTATCGATCTTGCCGAAGGGAATATAGAACCGGCACCACCTTCACCCCGATGCACACCCCCGACTTCCGTGCGTAGGCATCCCTTTCCCACCCGATGAAAGTCGACTTAAGGTAGAAGGCAAGAAGTTCAAGAAAACTTTCCACCGAAATCCAGCATTGGTTTCTAAAACATTGTTCATCATCCATCATAAAACCGTCACACTTACGAGTAACAGGTCTTGCACTTCCATTCTGAAGGCTGTCCTGTTTAAACTAGGCCGTCCATCCAAGTCTTAAAAATTGGTTAGACAAACGTATCCGTTATGTGAAGACACTCGAGCTTTATTTGAAGGTAACTGGATTTGACTTGAAGCCATGTGCCTCGCTCAGATACTATGAATTGGATCGCCATGTTCAACTTGTGCGTACTAACTATGCAGAAATCTATCCTTTACTCAGTCCCCGTCTTATGTGCCCTGTTTTGCATTTACCAGCAATGACTTCCCCAGTTTTCAATCCTACTTCGCGACATAAGGCTTGAGCGATGCACCGTAGTAGGCCTGAGTCATCTAAATTGGACAAATCAAGTAAAGAGAAAGTGCTACCACCGCAATAAATGGGCCCCAAAGCGCTTTTTCATGCATTAGTCAAACGACTTCACTAAATGAGTATATTGCCTGACGCCACGATGCGCCAAGCACGAGAGGAGAGATTCTCCTCTGGTAGCTGATAGCTACACTAATGGAGCCAAGGAGTCCACATTGTTTCTCTCCTCTTTTTCGAATGAACTGCTTCCAGCGTGATCGAAAGTGCATGTGGCGGCATCCAGCGGTGCCAGCGGTAACACTGTAGTTCGCAATGGTCGAATGAGTGATTTAGTTTATGGCACTGTCATTTGGGTTTTCGGCATAATCTGTCGAGAGAAGTGGGAGCGATTTCTAGCAGACCTAAAGAATTGACTGAATTCTAGGTCACGTGCCACACTGTAAAGTTCGACTGACGTGTTCTCAGAAGCATCGAATATCGATCAGCGGTGTGTTTAGATCATTCTCGTATAGTGTTGGGGAGTTGCTATAAAGAAGTTGGGAAAAGTACGCGAATATTCAAAGTTCACCTCGAATTAAGTAGCGTGGAATCGTGGCTAAAATAAAATATCGAAAGGAATACTGAATATAAAACATTTCATTGAAAGTTGAGAGGAAGAACAAAGGAATGAGAGTCGTTACGTCCTTGAACACCTAATGCGGGGGGGGATCGCTACCGAAAGATTACAAATTGCCATGCAAAAATAAAACCAGTGCCACATGACCAGGCTTCAGACTCTTAGCGTATTAGTTTGGTGTTTACTGCAGTAGAGAACTTGCGCTCACTGGGCATCTCTTTGTAACAAGTACGTGTTACAGAGCGATGAAGTCCAGTCCCATGCTCTTACGAGTATTTTAAAGGATCTTCTTTCAGGGGTTGATCAACTTTTTGAACTTCTTGGTAGTATGGCCTGAGCTAATCACTTTTAGATGCTAGGTAGCCGAAAGTCTCACAGTCTGGCCTTCTTTGCAGATGCCATGGCGTGCGAAAATGATATAATCTCCTTTCGACCAAACATGAGCTCACTTGTGAATCCGAATATCGACGAAAGTATTAACGAAATGCATAGAACGTTAGCCTTGAATTTAGCCACCCAGCCTATTAAGTTGGATTACGAGCCTTTGCAGCGTTTTAGATATTCCTGTCGAATTATTGGAATCTCGAAATATCTGCTATTCGAAAGTCGAGTCGAATTATTCGGTTTGGTATTCATAGAATCGAATTCGAAACATGAGTATGCGCACACCTCTAGTTTCGAGCCAATTAAATGTTCGATTTCACTGCAGGCTCATACGTGCTTGAAATGCTTACGACACAGGCTTAAAACATAAGTGCTGCAGTGGCGCGTGAACATGCTACTGCGAATGTTCACATAAAAACAACAAAAAAGGATTCAGCCAGCTTACGCCGCGAAAACTTTCGGACAGCCAAGCTGTAGGCGTAAGAAGCTCATCTGTGAAATCAATCAAGTGGTGTCGTACATTCCTCGCTAGACTAGAAATGTGTGCATTTGCACTTCATTTGACTACAGAGGTCCATCGAAGTGTAATTCCCGACACAGCCTCTCAGAGACTGTGAGACCTCCTTCAGTACACTGACTGCCTATAATTTTGCCCTACTTCTAATGTAAATTTCTGATAATTTTGATTGGTAAAAGTGACATCGGGTGACGTGCCAGATCAGGTATTTATATATCACATGACTTGCCGTCAGCGCAGACGTAATGCAGCCCAACTGTACGCGATCTGTTATTTGCTTTACGTGGCCTACCTTGCTTTGTAGCAATTAATGTGACCCTCTGAAGAAAGCATCAAAATGATTTAGCGATACATCGTACCAAAGTAATCATTAGTAGTATGTCTTTACCTGAGAATCGTGAAAACAAATACCTAAATAGGAAGTGTTGAGCTTTTCATCTGTGTTAAATTAGCTTGTACGACGCATTCATTTCCTTTCCATAAATTCATGTAGCGCTAGCTGAGGTATTTAGTCTCGGCTAGCCAGGTTATCACACTTGTCGTTAGATTTCCCTGCTTTGAACCTGGCCTTAATACAGAAATAGATTTTGTTTTGTTTATTTGCTTTAATCGCGTGACTAGCGAACACCAGAGCTGGTGCGAGGTCGAGTAAGGAAAGTTCACTGCATATCTTAGTGCCGAGAAGGACGCGATCTGTGACATTCATAAAAGCTGCACATGCAGTGTCAGAGGCTTGCTTTTACTGCACTGAATTAACACAAACAAACTTCTTTGCAGCCGTGTACAGAGACCGTATACGTAAGTATATCAATGCCTTCATAACTAGGATTCAGTCAAGAGCAGTCTGATGCATGTATTTAACAAATTGGTGCAAAAGTAATGTCACGTGCTCATTTCTAGAATTATGTACTGATTATTTTTATCTGCTGAAAAATAGTGTATCATGAAAACGAAGAGTGCAGCAAAAAAGGCCTGTTTTGTCGTTCGTAGTTTTCTGCGCTAAACACTGTTAGTCTTCATTGAATAGCCAAATAGCCCAATACGTTGTTTTTCTAAATGTATTACAATTTAGTTTGATTGACTGAAGGTAAACAAAGCGTTTATTGAAAGTGACTATTTAAATTATCTAGGCCACACATGGTCTAGTAGTTATTGCCAATGTACAACGCCTCACACTCTTTTTTAAATGACACATTTGGGGCCCGTAGAGTGCGAAGTCATTTTGAAATGTCAGTACATGTTCCTGAAGATTGCTTAGACCAGTAGATGCGCGTTTAAAAGTTACAGCCAAGCAGGTAATATAGGGTTACCTACTTTTATCACAAGTAATTTGCTCCGGTTTTGTTGTCAAGGGCACATTGTTATGCGAGTGCTTAAGAGACAGACTTTTTGAATGCTCCATTTTGCAACGCTATTTCTTGGAGCTGTTTTTTAGTGTCTTAGCGTTTTAGTATTTAACATTGCATTAGTGCTTGCATCGTCTCTTCTGTGCACGCTGCCCTCATTCATGCGCTTTATTATTAGTTTTTTACCATGTTTTTGCTGTTTTTTCTACAGAGAAAGTGCCAGTCTACCAACACGGTACGCATTCAGTGCAGACTTTTTCACATGGGGCCAGTACTATTTCGTAGCGAGACTTTAGAAGCATAAGCGCAGGCAAAGGGCACGACTTTTTAAAGTTAGATACAAAAAAAAGATCAATTAAAGCCTATGCAAATCTGTAGTTTCTGAATGATTGTCAGTACTCTTTCTAGACGCGGAAGATCACACTTGCGCTCGTAAAATAGCACGCGTGCTCGGAATCAGATGCGTTAGACTGCTGGTAGGCACTTGCAGTACCCTTTTCTGCGTAGAATCTGCACGTGATAAATGAAAGACAGAACATTTCAGAACCAATGTCCTTAGTTATGTTCCTAATGCGGTAGGTGCAGAGGCTGTTTATCAAGATGTTCGCTCAAAATTCGAGTCTCCCGCGCAAATCGGCGCTTTGGCATGTCCGCAACGATCCCGCATGCTAACGTTTTGAGACTTCGCGCATTCACCAAGACCGTCCCTTTGCACTTTCTGTCTTTGTTCAAAGAATATCTCATTGCGGAGACATGCTAGGCAGGTATGAACCCAGTACAGCATCGCACAGTCTTAGAAGCACGCGTAGTGCTGCACAGCATGTGCAACGGGTCGACGGAAACGGGGACGCTAGCTGCAACAGAAACATGCGAAGGCGCACTCAAAGATTCGTGTGCACAATCACGGAGGATACCAAGCGCCGTTGACGGTTGATCTTGGCAAATTGGTAGCGTGGTACGAATGCTCGTGTTCGGGCTACCACGCCCGCGCTGACGGCAACTTTTTGAGCCTGCATGGTATAGCGTACGTTTGTATCGAACGGCATGGGGTACTCCCATTGCAGGCTAATGGGGCTTGGCCAGGACCGCAGAAAAATTGATATCCGCCGAAAATTACGACCTGTGATCGTTCCACCGAAGTTTTACTGTATTAGAGCATGCTACCTTGCTTCCTTCTTTTTTTCAAACTTGGCCTCTTTTTCTCTTGCAGTTCCTTATCCAGTATATATACGTAAGTATTATAACATATATGCATAAACGTTTCTACCCCCCCTCTCTCTCATGCTTCTCTACAAATCTAGCAGACAAACATCCTCAAAGATTTGTTCAAAATCCACACGGCCGTTGATACATTTGCATGTACGTACATAATATGGTATATTGCCTTGAGCGCTTGTTCCTGGTAGCTTATTTGCAACAGCTCATTTCGTAATAGCTTTTTCCTGATAGCTTTCTGGCTAATAGCTTCGCCATTTTTCCAATAGTTTAGTCCACCGTTTGATGAGATCATCTTTCACCTACAAAAACTGTTACTGCCGTAGATTTTTTAACTGTACGCCAGAGGGATAATTTGATCAAGTATCTACGGCAGCTGCGATGCATGACGCTTCATTCAAAGGGACGATGAGGAGTACATCATCGCCCAGCTTTTATGCAAGCAGGTTTCATTTGGTTGATGCTACGTTCACGTGCACTAAATTCAAAGGTGACAATATATATATATATATATATATATATATATATATATATATATATATATATTTAAAATCTAGCAGACAATATTGGCAAGGAAAGTATAGGGGAGGTTATTAGACCAAATTGTAAGGTAAATGTTAAGAAATAAAGGTGGTTAAAAAGATAACCTGCCGTGGGCAGGAGCCGAACCTGCGACTTTCGAATAACGCGTTCGATGTTCTACCACTGAGCTACCACGGCGGATATCCTCCTAGCCACTTTTTTAGGTATATATGTGAATATAAACGTAAAAGTGTCAGTCAGCGCCATCTGTATACCAATGGTGGCGAGTATGGCACACTCTTTATGAGCCTGTGTGGCGTCACGTAGCACGTGAACTTATTACGAGCTGGCAGCTGACCAATAGACCCCGTATAAAAACTAAGTCACCAAGTCTGCCAGTATGAGACCCTTGTTAATAAATAAAGGAAAGAAGTGTATACTTAAGGGCTCGTTTTTTTTTCGTGTTTTGACACAATAATGATGAAAGCTAACAGACATTAATAAAAAGGATAGTATAGGAGAGGTTATTGGACCGAATTGTAAGGGAAATGTTAAGAAAGAAAGGTGGTTGAAAAGATAACTTGCCGTGGGCAGGAGCCGAACCTGTGACCTTTGAATAACACGTTCGATGCTCTACCACAGAGCTACCACGGTGGCTATTCTCCTAGCCACTTTATTAGGTATATATACAATAATGACAAGAAAAGTATAGCGGAAGAAGATATATATATATATATATATATATATATATATATATATATATATATATATATATATATATATATATATATATATATATATATATATATATATCCACTAACGTGCAACTAGAATTATTTTCCTTGCCACCAACAAATCGATGCAAGGCTTGGTCAGACTCGGGACCAGCCGCATGTCGGCTGTTGAGTTGAGCCGGTTGCTGTGTGCTGTGCATATTTTTCAGATAGGCTCGTGTCGAGGATGACTTTTCACAAACATATGTGGTGGAAATGGCAGCAGCATGTCCACTGCCCTATTTCCTTCACTTTCCTTCAAACAGGAAAGATGGGCGAGTGTTTAATATAGCACCTCCGAGATAGAGATGCGGTGGCTAAGCCACGTGGCCCGTTTTCGTAAACTGACTGACTACAGTCATATGGCGGGATTTATTGCGCTGTTCGCGTGTTTCTGTTAATCCCCGAGAGGTGCTGACCCTGGGAAGTGGGTTCAATTGTGTGTCGGGTTCACCTTCACTTACTCGGCAAGTGCGGAAACCGCAAAAGCTTATCAGTGGCTTGTGGATCCCCGACGAGGGGCTGGACGAACGCATTTTCAAAAACCGTGCAATAGAGCAAACGCGATCACCCATGATAACGCTAGAAGGTTTGTTAGAGTGTCATCAGCCTTTTCATCGAACGAGCAGATGAAAGATGGCCGATGGCTGTATGAGCCACCATCAGAGCGTATTTTGCCATTTGACTTCCTTCGTCGAATTTTGTTTTCTGAATCCTAGTTCGCCCAGTAAACAGCTATTTCTACAACAGCTCCGCTGCCGCTTTCTTCACCGTCTTGAGCACATGATAGAGAGTGAAAAAGTACAAACAGAGACCTTCAATATTACTGAAGGACTTTCGTACAACTTTGTTAAAGTCCATTGCAGACGCTTAGGTTGCCCCATGCCGCATGGCTACTCCCACGTGGGGAGCCAGCCTGTCACTGGTGGACCGGATGGCCCAGAAGCGCTTCCCACTCAGCGTTGCTGTAAGACGGGCCAAGCGACCCGCGAAGAGGCCTGCCCGCAAGCGGCGCAGGCAACGTTGGAGAAGTTGTGTGGATGAATTCAATTTAAGTATGCTAACGATGGGCACTAGCCTACACAACCTGCATCATTATTTACAGACCACTCATTGTCACAGTGAGCTCATCTGGTAATTTTCACTCTGTCCGATTAAGCAGTAGAAAAGAACAAAATACCAGGTTGTTAAAATTAAAGCCCCATTCAGCTTTTGTCCACATGGGGGCCTCATCTGCCACTGTAGTACTGCACATAACAAGCACTTACTCTCCAAGAAAACATACTGTCAACAGACCTGAATAGTTGCAAGCAAAGGAGAATGTTAATTCTTAACGTGCCACTTGAGGAGTGTTTATTGGTGGGGGCTGATTTCTGCACAATGTATCTTATATTCCAACGTTTTCATTTGGTCAAAGAAAAGCTAGACCTTGGCTTTTTAAAAAAGGAGTTTCAACAAGCTTGGCACTACGGCTTTTCAGAGCATGGTACGTAGACTTTCCGGTCACTGGCCTTGTCACTGACCAAATATGGTCCCCAGGAAAAGGTGGTACGAGAACGAGCGCAGTACGAGCAAACCAGAGCGATAATTTTTTTCGGTTGGGGCAATTTCAGTTATTTACAATAAAGCAAGGTAAACACGTATTACTCAGGGTGTTTTAACCAACAGGGCACAGGCGATTTAATGACCATGAGTAGCGGCATAGCTCCTGAGCAGCAATTAACGCAACAAGTGAACTATTGTGGAAGTAACACTGTCATTGTTATCACCGGAAACTGGCGTTTTTCAGAAGCAACGCAGCAGATACGGGAATAGACCACTGGAGACTCTAGACGGGTGCCACGCTTTGTAACTTCTCTGCCTTGTGTTGTGCTCGACATTCAATGTGATCAATACAAAGTTGGTTTAAAGCACTCCATTTTGCGTCCTGCGAGACTTTCACAATCAGTTTTAGAAGACATGGGGCTCTACTAGAGAGATGGTCTTCTGTGGGGAGCAGCCAAAGTCACATTCCTCAAAAGCAGGAAGTCCAGATTACCGGGAGAGACTGTTCATTTTTAAAATATTTACATTCCTGGACCAAGCCGTGTATTTCAATATGTTGACGTAGTGGATTAGTCAGAGCGAACAGTAAAAGTGCCCCAGACAGGCCGGCTAGGCAGCCTGTCTGAGGCACTTCTACTATTCGCCCTGACTATCCCACTACGGGTTTCCATCTGTCGGCTCCCATCTAAATTTAAGATTAACATGTCAACGCGGAATACGTAGTTTCAGCCCAACTACCTTCACTCAAGTTGACTGCTTTTCGAGGCGCCCGAATCCATGTCCTCTATGCGTTTTTAAGCGATGACCTTTATGCATTTTGTTTCGGTTTGTTCCAGCTTTTCAAACATCGAGTCATACTTTTCAGCTAGAAGCTCAATGAATTTTAACGCGACAGCGTTAAAAACCACGTTTCGCAGAAATTTCCATGTCTTCATAAGCGTCATCGATTATGAGTGGAAAATAAGTATTGTGCGTAACTTGAAAATCGACTAAGGCAAATTAAACCTATAGTATAAACACTTGTTTCGTAGTGCAAAGTAACAAAAACGCCAACCAAGGTAAAATAGAAAAATTTAAAAGATGTTTCGGATACCTACACGGGAGCCTTGTTCACAGTGACCGCTTTTCTTGACTTGTTTCGTGAGATAATCGAACATAAGCCTAGTGCATGGCGAGCAGGCGCTCTACCATAACACAACGCTATGGCGCGACAGTTCTTGTAAAATATAAAAATGGCGAATGTTGCACTGCAAGCCACGCAATGCTAAAAACACTGACACTGGATAACTCTGAAGGTTGATGAGGTTGCTGCTATAAAGGTTGCTACTATACAGGTCTATGGCTTTAGATCTATGGGCGATGCAAGGTTGTTTCTGCGTTGATTCTCAGCGCACAGGTTCAAGTCTCTTGTGTTCAAGCACAAGAAAGAGAAACTTGCGGTGTACGACAACCCAGTGGTCAAAATCTCCGGAGCCTTCCACAACGGCGTCTACCATAATTGTATTGTTATTTTTAGAGGTTAAGCCGCCCCATCAATGATCATTTAGAAGCACGCGTTTAAACCAAACATTCACGCTTCTCATATATATACGGTCATCACCGTAGTTCAGAAGTCCGGAGCATACAAATGCGATTAAGACAGCTTGTCCCGCGAATCCGTTGATATAGAGGAACCGTGGGACAGCTAAAAAGAAGACGCTTTCTGGGGACACATGAGAACCAACTGCTCCACTGAACAGCTAACTACCCCCGAATTGCTAAACCCCGCTCCAGCAGTATATAGCAGGAACTTTAATTCGAGAGAGATGACAGGGGGGTGTCTGAACCTTGTATAAGGTTGTGCACGTTAGTTTTTGTATCATGCCTGCTCACATGCACACGCAAATGAAATGATTCGGTCTGCGGGTGGAAGTTATAAACTTTCGTCGATTTCATGCAAAGTGATAATCGAGACATAGACGCCAAAGGCGGGAATCACCAGCAAAAGTTGTGCGTTTAATATACTGGCTTCACTGATGTACCGATATTGAAAACGTTGTCAATATTGCCTCTACAAGGTTCGCGTGAATGGAAATTCATTTTCCTAGATGCAAAGTGTTGCAAAGTGTTCTCCTGGATGCAAATTCATTTTACCTGGTACAAGTTAGGCTGTGGTATTTGCAGATGTATAAAGAAATGACGAAATCCGCTGATTGAAGTACTTAGATATACTTTGCCTAGAGTAGTCCTCAGCAGTTGTTATCGTTAGACTTAGCGCGTTGTCGCACTCATACAACACCAGGTCATGTGCACACCTAATTGCTTGCTTTCAGTATACTGAAAGTCATGGTATAGCTCTACTTTTTGCACGCATATAGTTGTGTATTGACATATTGGAACCACAATGATTGGCGTAGGAGAATATACCATGAGATAAACTTGCTTTTGCCACCGAGAGAAGTCCTCTGAAATCCTAATCGTCCCTTTTTTTTCTTTTCTAGAGCCTCAAAGACATTACGCTCCACCTCGTAAGTCACTCAGTAAGCATTCTGAACAGTGAGGCATGTGTCCATCACGCTTTAAAAATGTGTTTATACATACCTTTTGAGCTGAATGGAATGTCGAACCTAATCTATTCAATAATTTTTTTCAGAGCGTGTCTACTACCGTGAGTATATTTTTGGAAATAAATAATAATGAGTTATTAACTATATTTGTCACAATTAAAGCCCTGCAGCATTTGGGGCAAAGAAAACCGGAGTGCCTACATCGGTCTTTCGCAGAACTTGAGGATGGATGGATGGATGCTATGAGCGTCCCCTTTATAACGGGGTGGTGACAAGTATGCCACCAGGCTCGACAAAAAAAAAAAAAGAAAAAAAACCTTTTTTCTTTTTTTATGTTGGCCTAATGCCTCTACTTCGATAAATTCTATCTTAATGGAAAAAAAGGTAAATTTTCAGCTTAAGTTCTCTGCCATTTACGGCACACTGTCCATATTTTATTTTTCCAATATTTATTTTTGTCCTTTCTCTCTAATTTTCTGCCACCAATACTCTAACCGTCTCTTACTTATTTCAATCGCGGGTGTGTTCAGCTTTCCATTGTTGTCCCTAAAACCCAAGGCTTCCTGTAGGCTCGTGCCCAAACGTACACCTGGGTGGATATCTCCACATTTAATCAGAACATGCTCCGCCGTTTCCTTATCTTTCCCGCAGCATGTGCATTGTTCTTCTTCTTTACTGAATCTTGCTTTATAACTACGCGTTCTAAGGCAACCCGATCTCGCTTCAAACAGTAAAGCGCTTCCCCTTGAATTATCGTAAAATGCCTCCCTCCTTATTTCATTTTTGCCCTTTCGGTAGTTACTCAAAGCCGGTTTTTTCTCCATAGCTGCCATCCAGTAAATCCTCTCCGCCTCCCTGACTTTTCCCTTAACGCTCTTTGTTGACATATGGCTTACAATACCAGCCGTATACTTACTAGTGAGTCTTCTAGTTCTTTTTCTCCACTGTGTGTCCACGCTCTTCCTATACAAATAACGGAACACCTTCTCTGCCCATCTACTCTCCTTCATATTCCTTAGCCTTTCTTCGAACCTTATTTTGCTCTGCGCTTCCCTCGCCTCAAAACCTGCCCACCCCATATCGCCCTTTACAGCCTCGTTTGTCGTCTTCCCGTGAGCACCCAACGCGAGGCGTCCCACAGTCCTTTGATTTACATCCATTCCCGATTGCACCTCTGCCCTCATGCACACCACTGAGTTCCCAAAAGTAAGCCCTGGAACCATTACACCCTTCCACAGACCTCGAAGCACCTCATACCTATTGTATCCCCACAACGCTCTGTGCTTCATTATTGCCGCATTCCTCTTTCCTTTTGCCGCCGAGGCTTTTTCCTGTACCTCCATGTATCTATCACTCTCATTTACCCATACTCCAAGGTACTTGTATTCACTTACCCTCGGTATTTCTTGGCCTTGTATGGACACCGTCTGATCACAGGGATCATTGAATACCATCAATCCACACTTCGTTACACTGAATCCTAGTCCAAGAGCTTCACCTTCCCTTCCGCATATATTCGCCAGCTGCTGTATATCATCTCGACTGTCCGCAAATAAGACGATATCGTCCGCATAAAATAAACCTGGAAGCTTCTGCTCAATCATCATGTCGCCCTGTTTGTGTGACAGATTAAAACCAATGTTGCTACCTTCTAGCGCTTTTTCCATACTCACCATGTACAGCATGAATAACAGCGGGGACAACGGACATCCCTGTCTCAGACCCCTGCTAACCTCAACGTTCTCTTTGCTACGCATTCCTTCCCACTCTATGCAAACTGTATTTTCTCGGTATATCTCCCTCAAAAGCTGTATACAGTCGTATACAGCTTTTGTATATAGTCGTATATAGCTTTTGTAGCAGTCGTATACAGCCATTCCTTTCAATATATCCCACAAAATTTCCTGATTAACGTTGTCGTATGCCCCAGTGATGTCTAGAAAAGCCACGTACAAGGGCCTATTCTCTATTTTAGATATTTCTATACACTGAGTGAGAACAAACAGGTTATCGTCTAACCGCCTGTCGACTCGAAATCCGTTCTGAAGTTCTCCCAAAATATCGTTATGTTCGGCCCATGTTTATATTTTCATTTTTACTGCTTGCATCGCCATCCTGTATAGTACCGATGTAATGGTTAGTGGTCTATACGAGCGAATCTTGTCCTTTTCTCCCTTGCCTTTATAGATTAAGTTCATTCTACTTTGTCGCCAACTGTCCGGTATTTGTCCGTCCTTTAAGCTTTTTTCTACTGCTTTTAACAATGCTTCTTTAGTGTTATGTCCTAGTTCGTTAATGAGGCTAACGGGAATCCCATCTAAGCCCGCGGCAGTGCGCTTTGGAATTTTTCCTTCGGCCTTTTTCCAGTTGAAATTATCAAGTACTAGCTCTTCCTCTGTTGCTTTCTCCGCCACACTTTTACTCACCGGGGAGATCCCCTGGACGCTCTTTTGAAACGAATCGGCTGTTACCTTTTGGATGTAACCTAGCGCTTCGTACCCTTCCAATTGATTTCCTCCTTCATCTAGAATATGTTGTTGCGTTGTGACAGACTTCCTACCTAGCGCCTTTATGTGGCTCCAAAAAATCCTAGGCGCGGCCTCCTTTTTTTCGTGTATCTCTGTCATCAAGCGTTCACTTTCACCTTTAATTTTTGCCTCTACCAATTTCTGTACAAGGGATTTTTTCTCTAAATATATATCCCATATTTTTTTGACTTCGTCCTGCGGCCGCTTCTCCTTTTTTGCCTTTCTATGCTCCCGTGATGCTTCGCGTCGCTTCTCGATCGCCTCCCGGATTTCCTTGTTCCACCAATTTTTGGCTTCCTTTTTCCTTTCCAGCAAACAGTTTTCTTCTCTTTCCCTATCTCCTTCGTCATTAGATGTAACAGCTCACTATACTCCCAGTCCTTGCCTGGTATTTCGCCTACTTCTTCCTCGACTCTTGCGGCTATATTTATTATTTGTTTGTCATTTAAATACGAGCTGCCAGACTTTGATTCCATGCTCATATTTTCAGTTTCGTATCCCATTTGTAATGTTATTCGTTTATGATCACTACCCAAGCTGTTAATGCCTTCCTCGTCTATCCTCATTTCTGTCAGTTTGTGGTAAATTCCTTCAGTCATGAGACAATAATCAATACTTGATTGCTTGTTTCCGACTTCCCATGTGATCTGGCCGTCACATTTAGGCCCCGTGTTAACTATCTCCAGACTATGTTGCTCGCAAAGATCTAGTAATAACTTCCCATTGGTGTCTGAATATCCGTCAAGGTCATGTATGTGGGCATTCATGTCCCCTAGAAGGATGATTTCGGCCCCATTACCAAATTCCTTAATATCCGCACTCATGCAATCCACTATCTCCTGATTCTTTTCTCTGCAGTTATTCCCCGTCCACAAGTAGGCTACCCCTAGCCACGTTTCCTTTCCACCTACTGTGCCCAGAACCCAGAGGTGCTCTGAACACGTCTGTTTCACTCTAACCCATTTGGCTCCGCGGTGAATTAGCATTCCTACACCCCCACCTTTCCTTTCCGATATGGTCCTGTTACACCCTTCCCAAACACAATTTTTAATATGTGGTGGCTCTTCCAAGTCTCTAAGGTGTGTTTCTGTAACCGCATACACGCCTATCTGTTCTTTGTTTAACTGCTCCTCAATCTCTAACCATTTTGCCTTCTTTCTGCCACCCTGCATGTTTATGTAACTAATTGCAACACGCGCCTTTTTCCTTTTTCTTTTACCTTTTTTCTGGTTTTTCGCAATTCTACCTGTCAAAGCGTCCTCCTGGTTGTTTTCCCTGTTACGAGCTACCCCGGACTCCGAAGGGCCCGTGAGCCCCCCAAAAAAGCTACTGCGCGTCCTGCCAGTCGCCAGCCCACCTCGTGTCCAAGCCTCTTATCGAAATGAATCTTGTCTCTTTGGAATCCACCCCACCTGTGCACTTCCCTGTTTAAATCCACTACCTCGAAACCCTTCTCTCGACTAATTCGCCATATCTCTTTGTTTGCGTCGACAACCGCTCTTTGCAGGTTGACGTTGCGTACTGGTACTTCCGGTACTGTGCATACTACAATTTGCACCTGGGGGGACACGGTGCGCATGTCATCCACCCCTTTCGCCAAGGTCGTCGCTAGTCCTGACGATTCTTTTTTCAGGACGTCATTTAACCCTCCCGCAATTACAACGAGGTTACGATTGTTAGCTTTAGCTGCGAGTTGTTCACCCGCTTGACTCATTACTGTCCCCAGCGTTTGTCCTGGGAACGTCCCTATCGCAACTGTCTTGTCGCCTTTCACCCTTTCTTTGATTGCCGCTGCGCATCGGACTAAATTTGAGTCACCGGCGATGATGACCTGTTCAGACATTCCTTCTGAAACCTGCACCTGGCTGCTGACTAGGTGACTAGCGTGAGTCACGGCTGCTGGTTTGCTCCCTCCCTCCCTCAAAACTACTTCCCGGTAGCTGGGCCCTGTGGCCAATGTATCTGCCTTTGTCATGCCTGTTTCCTTCATCTCTCCCGCACGGGGGGTCGTCGCCATAATGCTTCCGCCGTCACCTGCGTCTTCGTTCCCTTTCACGACCTTCGATAGGCCCTTCTCGGCTGCCCGGAGCCTTTCTTCCATGGCTGACGTTTTCTCTCGCTCCTTCGCCAATGCATTCTCCAGCTCTGCGATTTTCTCCATGAGCCCACTCTGGACCGCCATCATATTTTTCATTTTCTCCTCGAACTCGCACTGTCTACACTTGGCGTCATCTTCTGCTTTCTCCTCCGCACTAACTTCCGCCTTCCACCCTACCCCGCACTCTGAACACTTTACGGTCTTTTTGACCATGGCTAGCTCCGTTTACCGATGCCCACGTGTTAGAAAACTGTACTAAAATACACTGGTCTAAGCCAAAAAGAACCACAATAATAAATAAATACGCTACACTTCACAGCACCTGCGCATGCACGTGGTCGGTCTACGCGCAGGCCTCAGCCACGTGGTGGCTGGAGAAAAAAAAGACACAGTACAAAATACTAATAAAAAAAAACGTACACCGTACTAGACCTAATCAAGCTTACGCTAGCGCCTTACGTTCTCATAACGCTAC